TTTCAGATTTACTATAGGTTGGTTGAAAGAGACCCCTTCCACACATACCTGTGGTGTTAGGTTCATTTCTTGAATTACTTAACCATGGATCTAGAAACCTGGATGAAATAAGGTAGCCATACAAATCAGGACCATGTGAAGCCCATCTTGGTGTAACTTCCCTTGGCCTACAGAATTCATGATGTGAATGTGGTGACACTGTGCAAAGCAAGGTCTCATGGCATGTGAGAAACTTCTTTGCTATGTCTCAGTCCTTTTTTTCATGAAGTTTATATGGCCATTTATAAAGAACCAACACAAATAAACTAGTAGGAAGTACATGCAAATCTCCAGGGCCCTCCTGATACTTCAACTGTATTTAACTTCTGCTAGGCCACATCCTCATCCAGTTTTGGGGTGGGGTTAGAAAGGCATCCCTGAGCAGTATCTTTGCCTCTATCTAGCTTTCCAGAATCTCAAAATGTCCATTTCCATTTTGCATTCTAAATCTCTATTTCATATATAGGGAGTTTGTAAAACTTTAGGTAAAGTTAAAATGAAAACTGTGCCACACTCTTTGAAGAGCAGAGAGGGATGACTTGAGGGCCTAGGAAAGAATTCCCTATTGGATTACAGTTGTTTATTATGATATGATGATGCAAAGGTATCACATTTGTACATTTCATTTGCAGATCATTTCTGATATAAAAAAACTTGCAAAATCAGTGCAAAGATCACACAAATATCCTTTACTCAGAGTCACCTGTTGTTAACATTGTATCTCATTTGCTTATATACATCATGGCTCTTTTACCCCTAAGTACTTTAGTATATATTTCCTCAGAACAATTGACAGCTTTATAAAATTACATTGATAGAGAATTTTTATATAATCTATCATCCACATTTCAGGTTTTTAGTTGATCTTATAAGATCAACATTATAATCATTTTCCCCCCTTCACTAAAGGATTCAGTCTAGGGTCACTTACTTGTCATATCCCTAGCTTTTTAAAATCTGGAACATTTCCATAGCCTTTCTTTGTTTTGTTTTTGTTGTTGTTGTTTTTTAATGATATTACCCTTTTTGAAGAATACAGTTCCACCTAACTTCCCCTTTTAAAAATAGAACATTCATCATTTTGTGTTTGTCTGATGTTTCCACATGATTAGATTGATGTTATACATTCTTGGCTGGAATACTGTGTTGGTGATGTTCTCTCCTTTTTAGGGTATCACATCTGGAAACACACAATGTACATCTGTCCCTCACTAGTGATGTTAAATTTGATCACTAAGTTAAGATGTTGTCTGGTGTCTCCACTGTATAATTACTGATTTTTTTTCCTCTTGCAACTAATAAGCAGTCTGTGGGACACACTCTTAAAAGCCTACAAATAACCTGCTCTTCATCAAATTATCCCCTAGAGTTAGCATCCATTGATGATTTTTGCCTAAACCAATCTTTATGATGAGTTTTCTAACTCTAGCACTCAATCCCCATTTACCAGTCTGACCTTGACATTCTACTACAAGCATGAGCCTTCTCTTCTTTCCTGTTTATGTATTATTGGTAAGGGCTTATGAATTCCTACTCTTTCTGTGGTTTACTATTTATTATTGTGCTTAATTATTTTTGTGCTGCTGAACCTGTTGTAGATTTGGCCAATAGGGTCCCCTTCAAGCTGACTGCTGTGACATACTCTAATAACCATGACATACTCTCTTTGTGACATACTGTCATAATTTTTTGAGCAGCTTCTTTCCAGCATAACAAGATGTTCCAGATTCATCTTGTATCTATTTTTTCTCAGCTCTGGAGTGGTATCAGAGGCCAATATCTCAGTGCTAGGTGTGTGCTACTGGGGTGTCTGATTTTTCTGTCTTTTCAGTGGACAGAACTAGGAAATATCTGCATGGATACATACATCCCCACGTGTGTACTTATACATATATCTATACACACAGATATACACATATGCCTATATACTCAGATGTGTATATACATATTTAAAAATCATGAGTTCACAGTGCCCTCATTCCAATAAACAGGGTTCATTCTTGTATTCTCCAATCCATATTTGTAACTTCCCTTGTTTTACAGTAAGATTCCTGGTTTCCAAGGATATCAGTGTATTTTCTCAGTACTATAATACATGAGAGTTTCAACATTACTTTGTCCATGCCATCATAATAAACAAGCCTACTAAAAAGAGTTCCAGATTTATTTGTAATATCCCATGACAGCCCACAAACCCATCCTGATTGAGGGTGTATATGGTGAGGGTATATAGTCTAATACTGTGTTTACTTGACTTAGTTGTTTTTTGTCTTGTATTTTCTTCTTTTTTTTTCTTTAGCATGGTTATAGCTATTTATGTGGAATATAATTAGGTTTGATTTATTTCATTTCATTTTATTTTTAGTATATTTCATTTATTATGGTATTACAGTTGTCCCAATTCTCCCCTCTTTGCCCTCTCTGTACAGTTCTCCCTTCCCTCCAGCAGTCTCCCCCATTAGTTCATGTCCATGGGCTGTACATGTAAGTTCTTTGGCTTCTCCATTGCCTATACTGTTCTTAATTCCCCCCATCTATTCTGTACCTACACAATTATGCTTCTTATTCCCTGTACCTTTTCTCCCATTCTTCCCTTTCCCCCTCCTAGCTGATAACCCTCCAAATGGTCTCCATACCTATGATTCTCTTCCTGTTCTAGTTGTTTGCTTAGCTTGTTTTTATTTTTTTTTTAGATTCAGTTGTTGATATTTGTGAGTTTGTTGTAATTTTAATGTTCATAGTTTTTATCTTCTTTTTCCTAAATAAGTCCACTTTAACATTTCATATAATAAGGGTGTAGTGATGATGAACTCCTTTAGCTTTACCTTGTTTGGGAAGTGCTTTATTTGTCCTTCCATTCTATATGATGGTTTTGCTGTATAGAGTCATCTAGGTTGTAGGTCTTCACTTTTCATAATTTTGAATACTTCTTGACATTCCCTTCAAGTCTGCAAAGTTTCTTTTGAGAAATCAGCTGATAGTCTTATGGGAACTCCTTTGTAGGTAACTCTGCCTTTCTCTTGCTGCTTTTAAGATTCTCTCTTTATCTTTAATCTTTTGCATTTTAATTATGATGTGTCTTGGTGTGGACCTCTTTCAGTCCAACTTGTTTGGGATTCTCTGTGCTTCCCAGATTTGTATGTCTATTTCCTTTGCCAAATTGGGGAAGTTTTCTTTCATTATTTTTTCAAATAAGTTTTCAATTTCTTGCTTTGTCTTCTTCTGTCATCCCTATGATTCAGATGTTGGCCCTTTTGCAGATGTCCCAGAGTCTTCTTAAACTTGCCTTTTTTAAAAAAAAATCTCATTTCTTCATTTTGTTCTGGTTGAATGTTTATTTATTTCTTATGTTCCAAAGTGTTGATTTGAATCTCAATTTCCTTCCCTTCACTGTTGGTTTCCTGAGGATTTTTCTTTATTTTCCTTAGTATGGCCTTCATTTCTTACCTTATGCTTTTGCCATATTCAGTGAGTGTTTTGAGCATTCTGACAGCCAGTGTTTTGAACTCTGCATCAGATACTTTGGCTATTTCCACATCATGTAGTTCTTTTTCTGGGGTTCTATTCTATTCCTTCATTTGGGCCATATTTCTTTGTCTCCTGATTTTGGCAGCCTCCCTCTGTATACTAGGTAGAGCTACTTCGATTCCATTTTAGCGCACTTGTTAAGTTGTGTGCGGTGGAGCCTTGGGTATTCACCAGGGCAAGGCAATTGTGGGTCCTTGTGTTGGGGAGCGGCGGAAGAGAGGACAATGTCACTGCTGGCTGACTTCTGGGAGATTGCCTGGCCCTCACCCCATTTCTAGTCACTTCACCCACTTCCCGTATGTGACTGGCGCCTCTCTAGCTGCTGTCCTGGTTGTGATTCCCAGGGTGGGTGGGTTTGCATGTGTTGGGCGCTCCTGAAAAAGCAGCAGTTTTTTCCGTCACCCAAACCCCACTGGGTTTATATCTAGAAGTTATGAGGCTTTCTTTATGCTGTGCTGCGCCATCTGGCCTGGGCCTGGGCTTGCTCACTTATGAAGTGTCTCCCTGATTTTTATCTACCACATGTGAATGTGGGGCTGCCCATTCTGCCAGCTGCCACTACCTCTCTGCCTCTCCAACCCTGGCTCACCACTGCTATACCGAATCCTTTCCACCCTGACTCTCCATCTCAGCCCCTCCTACCTGTCTGGATGAATATAGCTTCTTTAAATCCTTGGTTGTTGGACTTCTGTACAGTTCTAGGTATTTTTCTGGGTGATTTTCTGGAAGTTCTGGGTATTTTTCATTTTTAAGGTAGTTGTGTTCCTTCTTATTGTTGTGCAACGAGATGAGGTGTGTCTACCTATGCCTCCATCATGACTGGACCAATTTATTTCATTTTAAAGGTATTACATTTAAATTTATTTTACTGACATTATTTGTAGACCCAGGATCTCTCCTACTGTTTAATAGAGTTAGTCATGGTTAGAGTTTGCGGTGGAGCTCCCCAGAGCTCCATGTTAAATGTCCCCTCAGTGAAATCACAGATAGTTTTGTGTTAGAAGTCTATAGTTAAAACTTAATTGATTTTGGTATATCCAGGCAGAAAAGCCATCTATGTTGCCTTTTTTCCCCTCTGAACATCTTATGGGATCAAAGTGGAATGTGATATTAACAAAACATCTATTGGGTAATTTGCCAGCCAGTATGCATGACATGGAGATCAGAACCACTTCCTTTGTGTCTTAGAATCACTTAGTGCTTAGTGCTGCTATTTAGCTAATAATTACAAATTATGTTATACTGCTAACTTTCACTGTGACTAGTCCACGCCAGTGCTATACTGACTGTGAGATGTTTTGATTATTCCTGGGAACACTCAAACAAGGTGTCTAGGGTGAGGATGTGGGTCAGAACTTTCCTATAAGAGCCACCTATGGGGTAATTTGTGATGCTGTCCATTCCTTTGCTTCCCCCTCCCCTATTTTTTGTAGGCTTCTCAAAGTCAACCTGCACAGCCCAAGAAGGAAGCCAGTAAGGAATTTGTTAAAGATGTTTCCAAGAAAATAAACAGGACCAAACCTACTCTGGAGTTGGCCAAAAACAATGAGATGCATATAAAACAGTGAGTAAGGAGGGACACAGATGGCATTGTTTAAGATGGTAAAGGAAATTGTGTGACATCTTTTTGATCCCCTTTTGTCCCCACTGAGAACATGTTTAATGAGCCATGTTGGTGATTACTACATTAACTGTCATTGCTGAGGTGGGCCCAGCTGTGGTTGCTAAAGTGTTAACCATTGCCTTAGATTTGGCAAAGTAAACATTGCCAAATCTAAGGTTACAGAGATTTACTTTTTAAAAATTTTATTTCAAAATATTTATTGAATTTATTGGGATTAGATTGGTTAATAGAATTTTATAGGTTTCAGGTGTACAATTCTATAATACATCATCTGTATATTGTATTGTGTGTTCACCACCTGAAGTTAAGTCTACTTCTGTCACCATTTATTTCCCTTTTACCCCTTTCTACTTCCTCCCATCCACGTTTTCTGCTGATAATTACATACTGTTGTCTGTCTATGTGTGTGGGTATGTTTTTTGCTTGCTTTTAAGGTTTTCTCATCAGAGTTTTAAAGTTTTAGCTCTTAATTTAGGTTTTTGAGGTAATTTTTGTTGTTGGTGTATGTTAGGGCTCTAAATTCATTGTTTTGCATGTAGATAGCCAGTTGTCCCAGTACCTTTTTCTTAAAAAGACTAATCTTTCTCCACTTAATTGTCTTGGCACCCTTGTCAAAAATGAATTGTCTATTAACTGTAAGTGTTTTGTATTTTTTTAAAATTACCCTCACCTGAGGACATGCTTATTGATTTTAGGGAGAGGGGAAGGAAGAGAGAGAAAGGGAGAGAAACTGCTGTGAGAGAGAAACATTATCAGTCGCCTCTCATACTTGCCCCAACCAGGGACCGAATCTGCATCCTAGGTATGTGCCCTGACCTGGAATTGAACCCATGACCTTATGGTTTATGGAATGGCGCTCCAACCAACTGAGCCACACTGGCCAGGGCAAGTGTTTCATTATATCAGTACCATACTATCTTGATTATTGTTGTTCTGTAGGGCATTTTGAAATTGGAGATTGTGGCTCCTCTAACTTTGTTTCTCTTTTTCAAGATTGTTTTGGCCATTCTGATTTTGTATAATATGACTTTTATAGTCAGCTTGTCTATTTCTAATAAGCCAGATAGCACTTCCTTTTAAACAATAATTCATTGGCTTTTTTGTATTATATTTCTTAGAGTTGTACAACCATCACCACTATCTAACTTTAGGACTTTTCCAACACTCCACTCCCTTACAAAAGAAACTCATACCCATTAGTAGTCCCTTCCCTTTTCTAGTCTCCATTCTACACTTCGTTTTCCAGACCCTGCCCCTTCTCAGCCCTAGGCAACCACTAATCTACTTTCTGTTATGAATAATACACCTATGGGTATGTCCATTCTGGATGTTTTAGATAGATGGAATCATAAGCTGTCTAGTCTTTTGGAGGTACTTACTCTTGTTCAGACTGATGATTGTATTTGCCTTTAATCCTTTCTCTTATTCTGATTTCTAATCATCTAATGATTTGGTCATACTAGATTAGTTACTGTAATTGGAGATGAAGTCCTGTTCAAAACAAAGCTTTGCATCTGACACATGTGAAAAATGCCTATTTTGGTCTTATCTTATCCTCCAATGAGAAAACATCTGGTGAATAGCCTAGGGTAAAGTGACTATGGTTAGATACCACCAATGTTAAGTATCAGCCCACCATTGACCTATAATCCTTCGTCATATACCTCTCTTTATAATTCTCTCTCTTAAGACTTCAAAAATATTAATTTCAACTTTCATTTTACCAGATGTCTGGTGTTGATAGATAAAAACAAATAAATGCAGCTAGTGAGGGAGACTGATGTATAAACAAAGTCATACAATGTGTAAATATTATAATGAAAGCCTTTATATAAAAATAAAGGTAAGAAATCATATATGAGAAAAGTATAAAATGGATTTCAGGGGAAATTTTTTCAGAAAAATGTTGGGGACCTAGGCCATAGAAACTACACACTGTGCCACTTAGTTGATTCACTATGGTACTCAATGACTTTTTAAAAAGATTTTATTTATTTTTAGAGAGAAGGGAAGGGAAGGAGAAAGAGAGGTAGAGAAACATCAGTGTGTGCCTGCCTCTCAGGCGTCCCCACTGGGTACCTGACCTAGCCCACAACCCAGTAATGCGCACTGACTGGGAATCAAACTGGCAACCCTTAGGTTTGCAGGCCTGTGCTCAATCCACTGAACTACACCAGTCAGGGCCTCAATGACTTTTATACTCTTAATATGTCTCTTGGAGTTGAAGCCCTTTCCTCTTCCATACCTTTAGTAAATATAGCAACAAAATGAGATGGCAGGTGAAGATTCTAGATAATACATTCTTCTTACCCAGACATTGTTTTCTTTACAGATATGAGCTGGAACCTTCATCAGCAGCAGTTTCTACGCCCATGGTATTACACATTGTGAAGAAACCACGCACTCTGAAGACATGTACCATTTCTGAAACACCCACTACTGAGAAGCCTTCTCTTATAAAAAAGCCATTAGTGTTAAAAGAGAAACCCAGTACTGGGGACACAGTCCTCAATAGGAGATCACTATCTTTAAAGAAGCACATAAATCAGAATAACATCTCTCTATTCGAGAAGCCACTAACCTTGCTTGAAGAGACTGAGAGTGATTTAGAGTATATTTTAGAGCCAGTGACTTTTGGGAAGAAACGAAAATCTGAGGAGGCAGTCGTCACTCAGAGGAATTTATCCTTTAAGGAGATGTGTACATGTCAGGGGAAGCAGTCCTGCTGTGAGAACGAGATGACATTGCTGAATATTAATGTTGAAAAGGATTCCTTCTTTATGGAGCCAATGAACTTTAGGAAGAAGCCTGAAACTAAGGAGGCAACCCCCACCAAGCAGCTATTAACTTTAAAAAAGTCTGCCACTCAGGAAAAGATGTCTCATGAGAAGAAGCCACTAATATTGCAGAAGGCCACCTCTGGAGAAGAGTCGCTCATTGAGAAATCATTGTCCTTTGAGAAGACGTGTACCGCTGAGGAGTTCTGTTTCCAAGAGTCATCTCTGTTGCAAGAGAAGCACACCACTCAGGGGGAAGTGTCTATTTTGAAGAAGCCCTTGACCTTGCAAAAGGCGACAACTAAGGAGGAGTCACTTTTAAAGGAAACTCTGCTTTATAAGAAGAAACATACCATTGAGGAGGCAGCTGCCACCGAGGAGCTAGTAATTTTAAAGAAGAAATGTACCACTCAAGATAAGATATCCTGCTTGAAGACCATTTCTGGAGCAAAGTCAGTCATTAAGGAGCCATCATCCTTTAAAAAGAAGCCTACTACTGAGGAGGAGTTCCTCTTCAAGGAATCATCTGTATTGCCAAAGAAGCATACCACTCAGGGGGAGGTGTCAATCTTGAAGAAGCCCTTGGTCTTGCAAAAGACTCCAACTGAAGAGGAGTCACTTTTAAAGGATACTCTGGTTTTTAAGAAGAAGCGTACCATTGAGGAGGCAACCACCACCAAGGAGCTAGCACTTTTAAAGAAGAAATGTATCATGCAAGATAAGATACCCTGCTTGAAGAAACCACTAGTATTGCAGACCATTTCTGAAGGGAAGTCAGTCATTAAGAAGTCATCGTCCTTTAAAAAGAAGCCTGCCACTGAGAAAGAGTTCCTCTTCAAGGAATCGTCTGTGTTGCCAGAGAAGCACACCACTCAGAGAGAGGTGGCCCTCTTGAAGAAGCCATGGGCATTGCAAGACAATATTCACCGTAAAGATGAATTTCTTATGGAGCCAGTTTCCTTGAGGAAGAAACATACCATGAATGAGGCAATCTCCAGCAAGGAGCTAATATCTTTAAAGAAGAAAGAGTGCACCACTCAAATAATGATGTCCATCTGCCAAGTAATATTGGACTTGCAGAATATTATTGACAAAGGTAAACATTCCTTCTTTATGGGGCCAGCATCACTTAGGAAGAAGTCTTCAATTGAGAAGGCAATCCCTACCAAGGCACCATTATCAACAAAGAAGAAGCGACTCACTCAGGGAAAGATGTTTCTCTTAAAGAAGCCATTGGTGTTAGACAAGACCACCTCTGAAAAGGGGTCACTCTTTAAGAAGGCGTTGCCCTTTGAGAAAAAGCCTAAAACTGATGAGTTTCTTTGGCAGGATCCATGTCTATTGAAAGAGGATCACACCACTCTTCAGGGGGTGTCCCACTCAAAGAAGCCATTGGCCTTGCAGGAAAAGGCTACCACTAAAGAAAAATATATTAAGGAACCATCAGAGAAGAAGCCTATCACTGAGGAGGAATTCGTCTTTCAGGAGCCATTTTCATTGCATGTTAAACCTACTAACAAAGATGAGTCCCTTTTCTGCAAGTGTTTGGACAGCCAGAATAAGATGGATACCAAAGAGGACTCCTTGAAGAAGCTGTTGACTTTGCAGGAGAAAAGCACCACTGAAAAGGATACCCTTTTCAAGAAACCATTGGTTCTGAAGAAGAAGCTCTCCAATGAGGCAACAACAAGCATAGAAAGCCAATTATCTTTAAAGAAGAAGCCTACTGCTCAGGGAGAGGTGTTCCTCTTGAAGAAGCAGTTGTCCTTGCAAAAGAACACCACTAATGAAGAGTTCCTTATTAAGCAACCACTGACCTTGCAGGAGAAGCCCAGCACTGAGGAGTCCCTCTTCAAAGAATTAGCCTTTCATGGGAAGTCTACCATTAATGAAGCATTCCATTTCAAGATGTTCTCCTTGAATGAGGAACCCACTACTAGGCAGGAGTTGTCATTTGAGGAGCCATTGGCCTTGCAAAATAATCCTACCCAAAGGGAAGATACCTTTCTTAAAGATGTCTCTATCCAATTTGAGAGTAGCCCACATGTATTCAGCACCGCCTCTGAATCTAGAACAGACATGTCCAGTTCTGGCATCATGTCCAATGTGAGCAAGTTTAATACCACAAAGAAGTCCAGTGATTGTGAATCCAGTTCCAATAAACCTTTCTCATCTTGTGGCAAGAGATCACAGAAGGAGGTATTTTGCTTTCTTCTTAAATTAGAAGAAGTGTTCTTTGTTGTTCTGGAGGTAGCTGCTAGCAAAGAGATATTTTTTCTTAAGCAGCAATTGAGCTGTGTGTTATAAGCTATAGTAAATCAAGTTGGCCTTTGAGAATCTCTTGACTTCCCAATTGGCATAGTGATTTACCTAAACAATTAGAAAGTATTTATCCCAGGAATACCCACAAGGGCCTGGAATACTATATATACAGGGGTGGACAAAAGTAGGTTAACATTTGTTCATGTGGAAAAAGACTTGTAGGTTATAATTATTACAATAGTTTTATTAACTCTAAAGAATGTCACAATGGCACAGTAAAACTGCTTTTGCCCACCCTAGTTTATATAGGCTTTGCAGTAGTGTTTACATCTTTCAGGAAATTGCCTTTCTTAGTAATTTCAGTCTTCATTCAAGTTGGCTTTGAAGAAGGATAAAGTTCATAGAGGCATCTCCAAAGAAAGATGGTCTTTAAGTTGTAAATTGAAAGGATGGCAGGATCAGATTTGGCAAGTAGGAGGAGAAATGTCACTCTTGTAGGCAAAACAACCTGAATAAAGGAGTAGAAGGGAGGAAAGGGCTACCAAGAAGATGAATTGGGTCAGATCAAAGCATTGGGACATAACAAGGAACCTAAGAAGACAGGTGACATAAACTGAAATAGTAAAATAAGAGTGTCTCTGTTGAAGATTCTTGAGCTTACCTGTGAAAATGGTGCCTGGTTCCTAAGGTAGAGCCGGCATGTACAAGGAAGACTAAGTATTTCTTGGTCATTCAGGAGTTTGAGGATTACAGGGTCTGGGGGTGCTCGGTTATAGCTCAGGTTGTATGAGGCTTGAGGAACCTTAGCAGAAGATAACAGTGGGAAGAAAGGAGTCATTCTTTATGTATATGTGCTAAGACTTCTTATGAATGTTTCTCCTTCTAATATGTCTTTTTGGTGATTTCCAAGCAGATAACCCCACTGGAGGATATTGGCAAGAACCACAATAACCTAAGTTTCGACTCAATATATGTCAAGGATATCTTCAGATACTTGAAGGAGAGAGAGGTGTGTAGGTAGCTGTGGTGGTGGGCAATGATTTCTAGTTCTCGTTTCCTTGTCACTCCATCCTTCAAATGCAAGTTGAAAGGGGAGCAACAGCTGGCATCTGTTGGTATCTTACTATGAGTTAGACTTTGTGCTACAGGATTTATAGACATTATTTTTGTTTAATTCTCCCAATAATTTCAAGATGATAGGTATTATCCCCTATCAAGATGATTATTATTATCCCCTTTTTAAAAAGATTTTATTTATTTATTTTTAGAGAGGCAAAGGAAGAGAGAAAGAGAGAGAGAAACATCAGTGTGTGGTTGCCTCTCATGTTACCACTACTGGGGACCTGGCCCGCAACCCAGGCATGTGCCCTGACTGGGAATCAAACCTGCGATGCTTTGGTTCGAAGCCCGTGCTCAATCCACTGAGCTACACCAGCCAGGGTGGTATTATCTCCTTTTTTAGATGGGGGAAACTGCTCATAGCCACAGAACAAGTATGTGGTAGAGCTGTGATATGGACTAAAGTCTTATTACCTATAAGAACATAAGCCTGCACTTCTAATTGCTGAGGAGACAGTCTTAGACACAAAAATGGTCAAGTAGTCTTTTTTTGAGTAGCTGTTCTTGGAGATCTTTTCCTTTCTGTATGAAAGTTTTCTGCCATCATATGTAAAATCACACCCTTTGTTTCACCTCTCCAGTCTGGTGAAATTTTCTTCCTCCTTTGAAATCTGCCAATCTCCTTTACTACTAATATTCATTGACTCCAAGTTTTTTTTTCCTGTCTCTTTTAACAGAACAGATGGGACCAATATCATCTGCCAACTGGAATTTTAGCAGGCCATGCAAAAGAAGGAAGATTAATATCTCATATTCCCTCTAGAGACATAGTGTTAGATTAGCTGTCTCCAGAGCCCACATTTTTTCTAGTATACCTTAGAGGATGTAAGAGAAAACTTTGCTATACCAGAAGTGTGGGCCTTAGCTCAGCAGTATAGATTTCACTTGGGATTTTGTTAGAAATGCAGAAATCTGGACCCACCACAGATCTTCTAAATTTAAATGTGAATTTTAAAGATATGCAAGTGGTACATACACATATTAAAGTTTGAGAAACATTGCTCTGCATAGCATGGTATTGTGCTTTTAGGTTGAATTGCAAAAAGGGGGCAAATGTTTTTGGTATTCATCTATAGTCATATGTGTGTTCCTGCCCATATTCCCCCTGACCTCCTTAGTATTCACCCTGACACTGGAATATCATGTGTGTCCATTTTCCAAGGGTAAATGTAACTTGTCTGGAAAAGAATACTTTGATCTGCCTCTATCAGATACCAGCTGAAAACGAGTTAAACCTTGAAGAAATTAATTATGTTAAATTGCAATTTTTTTTCTTGAGATGTTAGTTGCAAATATTTTTTCCTAAGTTACAATTTTGGAACTACAAGAATTGTTTATTAACATTTCTTTCTTATGTCATCAGGAAAAGTTCATACTTAAAAAATACATGAGCTGTCAGAGTGACATCACCAGTAACATGAGGGCCATTCTTGTGAATTGGTTGGTGGCTGTGCAGGTAAGTCTGGCAACTCCTGTTTTAGGGAGTTGCTATTGTATTTATCAATTATTCATTTAACATTACCAGGTTCCAAAAATGGTACAAATTTACTGGGTATACAGAGCTGAATAAGCCATCTATTTCCTGCCCTTGGGAAACTTTTGATATAGGGGGCAAGGTAAGACATGCAGACAAGTAAGTGCAATGCAAAGTAGAATACACTTAAGTAAATATAAGAATGTTATAAATAAGATACTGTAAGAAACCAGTGAAAGGAGAGATTATTTCTAGAAAAAGACAATGATGGCATGTTAGTTTAATCCTTCTTAAAATCTTGTAAAATTATATCTAGTGATTTGGGTAGTGGTCAGTGACAAAGTCTCAAATTCAGGTGGGATGGGTAATAGGATGGACAGTGTAGCACAAAACATGGCAGTTAGCTGCTTGTCCAGGGTTAGTTATTGAGGGAATACGACTATGAATACTTAATTATCACTTTACACTAAGGAAGGATAGCCCAGAATAGTACCTAGCACATACCAAGGTGTCAATAAATAGCTTTTGAATGAATAGAATCAAATGGATTGCTATAGAGTTTGCACAGGAATATAAGGCATAGTCTATGCTCAGAAGAATGTTAGTATATAATTGGAGAGAAAAGGTAATATAGTCTAATATACTTTAAATGCCAGAGAAGTGGTTCAGGCTCACTTTGGAGTGACAGACAAGGGAAATGTGGTAGATTTGGACATCAGCAAAGCATGAAAATATCTTTCATCTTATGGGAATGGTGAAGAGTAGTAAGTTAGATAAGAGTAAAATTTGGAGAGATCTAAATAAATAAAATAGATTCCAAAGATTGCTGATCATTACCAAGCCAGAACAAGATTTCTAGTGGACTGATAGCAGACTTTGTTCTGATCAACATTTTTATTAGTGATGTAGATGACAATAGAGAATAGGAAGATCTACTCATCCCATTCATGGGTAATTGAAATTGGGAGTAGGGAGAGGGAATAAATAGTTAAGAAATAAAATATGTTTACCAACTGGAATGATAAATGGGATCTTTTTAATAAAAGCTATTGTGTTTATTACACAAAGATTCACATTTATTATAGCAAAGTAAGAAATTATAATTACCTATGATCCCACAACCACTGTTAATATGTGTGTATATTACCCCCCACTTTTAAAGTGGTGGTTATCCACTAGGGATGCACCTTTGGTGCACAGATCACAGAATCACAGATGCACAGGACATGTCCCAGACTTATCAAATCAGAATTGTGGTGTATTGCTCAGGCACACATATTTTTATAAAGCTCCACAAGTGATGCTAATGTACACCTTTTGACAGAGAATCACAGTTGACTATTTTAGTATGTAGTTCTATGAAATTTTAACATTCATTTTGAAATAATGGATTTATAATAAGGTACAGAAATAGTATAGAGAAGTCCTGTGTACCCTTTACCTTTCTCCCAATGATAACATTTTGCATAAATGTAATATAGTGTCACAATTGTCCACAGGCCTTATTTAAATTTCATCAGTTTTACATGCATGTGTGTGTGTGCATGGTCTATATAATTTGACCACACATGTAAATTTTGTAAACATCACTACCACCACCACAGTTCAGATATAGAACTATTCCATCACTACAAGGATCCCTCATATTACCCTTTTATAACCACAGCCATGTCCATCTTCTTACCTTCCTGTTTGGAAACTAGTAATTTAGTCTCCACTTTTATAATTTTTTAATTTCATGAATGCTATATAAATGGAATCACATAATATGTAACCTTTTGAGATTGACTTTTATTACTCACCATAATTGCCTTAAGAGCCATCCAAGTTGTTGTGTGCATCAATAGTTCATTCCTTTTTATTGCTGAGTAATATTCTATGGTGTGGATGTACCACCTATTATTAAACCATCCACCCACTGAAGGGCATTCAGGTTGTTTCCAGTTTTTGAGGCTCTGAAAAATACTGCTATAAACATTCATGTACAGGTTTTTGTGTGAGTATAAGTTTTTATTTCCAACATTTAATACCCAGGAGTAGGGATTTCTGGGTGATATGATAAATGTACATTTAACTTAATGAGAAATTGCCACAGAGTGACTGTACCATCTTTCATTCTCATGTAAGATGTTAGGAGAGTTCTAATTGCTCTGCATTCTTGCTGGTACTTGGTATTGTTAGTACTTGTTTTTCAGTTATTAAATTTTAGCTAATAGGTAGCTGAAGAGGAATCTTGTCAGAGATTTAATTTGCATCTCCTCAAGGGCTAATAATAAACATCATCCTTATTTGTCATCCATATATCCTCTTTGCTGAAGTTCCTAAGTATTTTATCCAGTTTCAAATCAAGTAGTTTATTTTATTCATGTCAAGTAGTGAGAATTCTTTACGTATTCTGGATACAAATTCTTTGTTGGACGTTATTTACAAATATATCCTACCAGTCTGTGGCCTTTTCATCTCTTATCTCTGTCTTTTATAAAGCAAAAGTTTTTAATTTTGATAGTCTAGTTTTTCAATATGTTCTTTACGGATTATGCCTTTTGTGTCATGTCTAATAACTCTTTGACTAAACCTAGGTCATAAATATTTTCTCCTATATTTTATCTAAAAGTTTTATAGTTTTAAAATTAAATCTATAATCCCTTCTAAGTTTTGTATAAGGTATAAAGATTTTGAGGTCAAAGTTCATCTTTTGCATATGGAAGTCCAATTGCTCTAACACCATTTGTGGAAAAATACATTTTCTTCACTAAATTTATTTTGTGCCTTTGCCCCAAATCAGTTGGCCTTATTTATGTGGGTCCATTTCTGTACTTATTTCTATGCTCTATTCTTTTCCATTGACTTCTGTGTCTATCTTTTTGCCAATATCACAGTCTTTATTTCTGCAGTTTTATAATATTGTGATTCTTAAAAGTAGGTAGCATGATTCTTTCAACTCCATTCTGTCTTTTTTCAAAATTGTTTTAGCTTTTCTAATTTATTTGCCTTTTAATATAAATTTTAGAATCAGTTTGGCATATCCACAAAAACAACCCTGCTGAGTTTGATTGGAATTGAGTTACGTTTTGTGCAGAAAAGAGTTAACATAATGGACCTAATACTGCTGTCCTTAGAAAGGCCTGTTTGCAAAGTTGGCCCTTGGCTGGCATCTGGGAACTTGACTGGTAAACAGTTCTCTATACTGCTATAAAACCCTTTCTTAATTATAACTGTACTTAAACTGTGCAGACAATGTGGTTTATTCTAAATACGTGCTTTTCTTTTGGGAATCTGGAATTTTGGTACACCCTAAGCAAAGAGTGTTTACGTGACCAACTCCCAATAAAATCTTAGGCGTTGAGTTATTAACGATCTCCCCTGTAGACAACACTTTACATGTATTGTCACATCTCATTGCTGGAGGAATTAAGTGCACCCTAAATGACTCTAGTAGGTCAGGACTCTTAGAAGCTTGGTTCTAGTTTTTGACCAACTTTGCCTGTACTTTTTTTCCCTTTGCTGATACTGCTTTGTATCTTTTACTATAATAAATAGTAGCCACGAATATGACTATACTCATGGTCCTGTGAGTCCACCTAGGAATGTGCTCTTGGAGACCCCCCAACACACATCTATAGGTGGGAGTTGAAAAGAATTGTTAATATTTTCTATGTTGAATCTTCCAACCCATGAATGTATTATGCCTCATTTATTTAGTTAGAATTTTTTTTTTTTTTACCATATGGATCATGTACATGTTTTGTTAGATTTATACCAAAATATCAGTTTCTTGGAGCTATTGTAAATGGTAGTTTTTAAAATTTAGGTTTCCAGATTTACACTACTGTTATGAAATATTGATATTTGTGTTTTGACCTTGTATTATATGACCTCACGAAAGCCTAAAAGCTGTATTCTTAGTTTTTTTTAGAATACCAAGGAGTAACAAACTTTATTTTAGAAAATAGACTTTAGAAACATTTTAGAACTGATTTTTAAATTGAGTCAAAAGACCTAGAATCAACAAACTATTATAAATAACCAACAGGAAATTAAAATAAGTTGTTTTTAAAAGTATATGATTCTCATTTCTTGAAGTTATCTGTGTAGACAATTATATCATTTTAAATGGACACAGTTTTATTTCTTTCCAATATGCATGCTGTTAATTTCCTTTTTGTGTTTTATTACATTGTGTAGGACTTCCATTATGACGTTGAATAGGAGCAGTAAGAGTGCACAGTCTTGTGTTATTCCTAATCTTAGGAAGAAAGCAATTAGTCTTTCACGATTAGTATGATCTTAATGTAGAGTTTTCTTTTTAAATTAATTATTTTCAGAGAGAGGAGAAGGGAGGAAGAAAGAGAGGGAGAGAAACATCAACATGTGGCCACCTCTCATATGCACTCAACTGGGGGACCTGGCCTGTAACCCAGGCATGTGCCCTGACTGGGAATTGAACTGGTGACCCCTTGGTTTGCAGGCTGGCACTCAATCCACTGAGCCACACCAGCCAGGGCTTAATGTTGAATTTTTGTAGATACCCTTGATCAGGTTGAGAAAGTTACTTTCCATTCCTAGTTTGCTGATGTATATTTATCATAAATGATGAATTTTTCTTATATCTATTGATATGATTTTTGTTTAAGACTATTAATATGGTGGATTACATTGACTGATTTTCAAATATTGAAGCAGCCTCATATTCCTAGGATAAACATCACTTGGCCCTGGTATATTATTCTTTTTATATACTGTTGCATTTTATGTGCTAATATTTTGTTGAAGATTTTTGCATCTATATTTCTGTTGGATGTTGGCCTGTAGGTCTGTAGTGGAGTTTTTTTTTGTACTGTCTTTGTCTTTTTTTTAAGATTTTATTTATTTATTTTTAGAGAGGGAAGGGGGGGAGAGAGAGATAGAGATAGAGATAGAGATAGAGATAGAGAGAGAGAGAGAGAGAGAGAGAGAGAGAGAGAGAGAGAGAGAGAGAGAGA